ATATTTCGACTCCAAATAAGCTATGCAGCGCGATTGCTTAAAAAAATGTTCAAAATTTTCAAATAAAATCAAAATATAAAAAATTCAAAATTTTCAAAATATAATCTTGCAGAGATCATATATTTTTGTTATAAATTCCAATGAATGAAAATACTCAAGATTATATTAAGACAATTTTTTTTTTGCTTTTTAAAAAAAATGGTTAGATTTTGTTATAATGTAATACTCCTTTTTTTGCTGCACACATATGATTTTATATTTTGTTTATGGAAACAGTATTAAATATTATAAACAATTTACTATAATTTTAACCATCAGATTTTACTTAACACCTCACCTTAAAATATTGCAGAGCTTTGAAAGCTTTGAAAAATAGGAATGTTTATACTACCAAAATTATTTGTTTTTAATTTTAGCCTTAATGTTTTAATTATACGGTTCTAGTCATTTGGAAGAATTAACAAAAAGTTTTACAAATGATCAGATATTAAAGAAAAGTAATCCAAATTATTAAACAAAAACACAGCTCCTAAGACATCTATTTATTATTCAGTATAAGTCTAATTATTAATAAATGCAATTCATTATTGATTAGGACAATCATTTACTAAGATATAAATAATTTAAATTAAAATCGCAATATTTAATAATCTTTATTAATAATGTATTTATGTGCAATAAAAATAGACAAAGATTAGCAATCAATTCTTAGTAATTATTTTATAATTTATTACTTGCATTAATTATTTGTTCAAACATTATTAGCAATTAATCATTTATGTGAATATTATCAATTTATATATATATATATATATATATATATATAAATATTTTAATATATATTAAAAGTAAAGCTTTACATTTGGTTCTCTTTTAATATCAGCATCTTGATAGTATTAATAAAATAATTTATAAAGGCATTTTTTTTTAATTTTAAAATGGATAAATAAGATAATTTCAAGTAAAATCCCCTACTACTTTTTGCAATGTCTATGTTTATTGTATATATTGTCTATCATATTGATACATCTTAAAATAATTATGCAATTAATTGAAAAATTAAACAAAATCTTAATGAAGATTTAAAATTTTATTACAGAAATATTTGACAAAAGACATAAAAATAAATATAATAAATAGAATATAAAAATATAAAAAAAAACTGAAAAATAAAAAAAAATGAACACGAACGTAAAAATTGGAAAATCGAAGTCTTGTCCCCAGGAATTTGTCCTGTGGACTAAACACATGTCACAGGCCTGTAATATTTTAAGGGTTTGTTTTTACTATCAACCTTATTACCATGGGTAGTTTTATTTTAATGTTAGAGGATTAAACTTGAGTAAAATCATTATAGTAATTTGTGGAATAATATTTGTGATTTAATACAAACATTTGAAAAGAACATATAATTTATTGCTGTTCTTCATGAAGAATTTGGCTTTGAAAATAATAATGATTAATTAAATGTTACGATTAATTACCATTTCATACACAGAGTGTTTGCAATATTTGAAATGACTGATATGTAAAATTACTGTATACATCAATAAACTAATTAAATTTAATAAATCCGTTGATCCGTGCGCCCGAAAACTGGATAAAAATTATATCCATACATACATACATACCCACACATACATCCGTTATTCTGTGGTATGCCAAAATGTTCAAAACCTTCAAAATGAGAAGGAATGCAAAATTTTTCATTTAGTTAATAAAATTTATAAGATCTATCAGATACAAGATCAGAGCGCAAGTACTTATACAAAATCTCTGTATTTGCTTTCGCTCTGATCTTATTTTCATATTGAACTGAAGATACAAGTGCGAAACAAATTTGTATAGGTTCAATTTTTTGTAGGAAATACCAAGAAGCAAAGATCATACAATAACATATAAAAAATTGGCAAATCATCATTAAAAATATTTCCTGTTCATCCAACTGAACGCGCTTCAAAATTTTTTTCTATGCCAGATCAAATGTACCGATATTTATTCTGGTCAAGATCTGTATTATGAATGATGGATTGGTAAGAATTTTTTTTAGCAAAATAATATATGTTGAACATCATTGATTGATTGCCTACTATACTATTATTATTATGATTAAAAATTAGAATGTAACCAAAACAAGCCATGAGATGCTCAAGTGCTCTACTGAAGTTCTATAGATACTCTTGCGGATCTTACTGGTGGTAAGATCTAAAAATGAAGATATCTTCAAAAATGCGAAGAAATTTCTATTTGAAAATTGTTGAATTAATAATATATATTTTCGAACGTGAAATAATTCAAAGATCTCATAATAAAATTGTAAAGACAATGTAGAACTTCTTGCCACGTAACTAATGAGACCATCCACAGTAATTTAGATTTGTAACTGAATTCACAAGAAGCAATTTGGATCATGAGCATTAAATATTAATTAATGAATCCTAAATTTACAAGCACATCTAGCAAAATAAAAATCAATCAAGAAATTTACCAAGTTTGAAGGGGTTAAAATATATATAACTGGAAATCATCTTACTGGAAAAGTCTTCTAAATATGATTAAATATGACATTCTGGTCTAGAATGTTTAAAAACGATTTTTTTTTGAGTTTAACTATAAACTTATCTTCAGTGTAAACTACGCTCATCCTCAAATTTCGATTTTAACTATTTTGCAAAAAACAAAATATCAAAAAAGTTGCAATTTTTCAGTCGCTATTTTGTGAAAGGAAACATTTTTTTAACTGGTCGGTAGTGCACACGATTGCGACATTATTTAAGAGTTTTTTTTTTCTTGAAATTATTTGGGGTCTGAATACTTACGATGGTATGGTCAGTGCTTGAATTTTTTGAGACCTTCCTCTTCATCATCTCTAGAATTAAACTTGATGATATTTTGAATTTTATTTTTTTTCTAAATTTTCAAAACATTAATTAATAACTCGTAAAAATATAGAGAAATTTGTTTACAACTTGCGACCAATGCCCTCTTAAGAAAAAAATATTTTAAAACAAAAAAAAAAATATTTTATTTCTATTTGTTCAAATCAGTTACATAATTCTGATGTTTAATTTAAAGTGCGGTCCTTTCTAACGTTTATGTAAAAAATTGATGGTTCGACCGTTCTATGGGAATATCTGAATCACAATTAACAATCATATTTTCGCTACAGTAGCTTGGTTAATCACAATTACCTTGAATAGACATATATATTTAGGTACTCGTGTGTGTGCAATCAATTGAAAAATAAATGTCAATTATATAAATCGAGCACATGAAATATTAGCAATTAATTTCAATTTCAATCATAAAAATTGCAGACGTAACATCTCCCATTTTTAGTCTTAACATTGAGAGTCATAATAGTTTTATGACTTTGTAAACAATGCACTTGTAATAATTTACAACTACATAAATTTAACTTTTATGTAGTAAAATAGTCATGATAATAAATTGTTGTTTCTCGAGGGCAGGTCAATGTTATGAGAACACCATAAAATTAATGATTCCCCCTTTGTCCCAAATATTTGGTGACCATTGCCGTTCATTACATGTTTTTTATACTTTTATGCGTTTTCCTTGCAAACCTTTTGCATCCAGGTTTCTGGTTCTGTGCTTCGGCTTTTAGTTC